TCTTTTTTTTGTTTGTTTGTTTGTTTTGTTTTGTTTTGTTTTTTTTTGTTTTTTTTTTTGTTTTGTTTTGTTTTGTTTTATTTACTTATTCGTTCTTTTTCTTCTTCTTCTTCTTCTTATTTATTTATATGTTATTTTGGTTCTACAAATGACGTCCGTTCCATTTGTATATCCCTTGTGCATCTAGCCTGCAAGACCCCTGGTTACAGCCCTTTAACCACAGGCAGTCCAAACACGGCTACCGTGTAGGATTTATAAGGGCATGCAAAGCCAGTAACGGTCTTCAGTTTGTCTACATATAGGTTTTTGCTAACTGGTATCCTTCGTCGATGCGGTATAACTATGCAGTAACCTGCTAAAAGCATTTCCAGATTCAACACTACGTATACGCTCCGAAAAAAGGAAAAGAGCTATCAGATGCGCTACAACTTACCCGTACCCATCTACTGATAAAGAGAAAAAATCTCAGAGCCCTAGCTCTGAAATGGCACGTTATCATGACTTGTTGAACTGCGCCGGCGATCAAACGGCCAGCCGCTTTTTAATAAATCTATATATAACTATTTAACAAGTGTTAAAATCGTGATGCACGCAGGCTATGATGTTTTTCTGCTGCCGGTTTAGCCGGGTAGTGTGGATTTTAAAGATAAATAAAAACTATCGAATTGGTTAAACCAATAGCAATGATTAGAATATGTAGTGAAAACTGGGTCGAGTTGCTCTTGCAGTGCATTGGGGGACTGGATATAGGGTACATATCCCCTACTCTTACCCTCACACCCTTAACTCGACCAATTTTTTTCCCCTCAACCCTTGGAATGGCTAATATGTAGAGGACATGCTCTACTCCTTTCAAAGTTCCATTAACGCTTCACGCCTAGGCGATCACCCTAGAACTCGGTCAAACCAAGTGCGAAGTTGACGAAGAGTAGTCGTCGGCAGAGATTTCGTCAGCATCCATCCAGTCATTTTTTTTGCATAAATGCTGGGGGGAAGAGCAGGCCGTTTAACTTATGTAAGTATATCGAAAGCAATTGTTAAAATAGCTTGGGGAGCATGACATTTATCGTTTCGAAAACCCCGCCCCTCCTGTAATGATACGATCCCGAGGGGATCGATTTCGACGAAGTTCATCATGAAAAAAATACGTTGTTATTGTTGGCCGTGGACGCGAGTATGAGAAAAGACTCTGATCCGTCACTAGCTATAAGAATAGGTCTGGTAGCTAGCTTGATACTTGTAACCGAGGGAGGAAAACCGGAAAAACCCCTCGAATTAAGGGAGAGACTAGCCCGTCCGCAGGCATATCCTTGGCTCTTTTTGCATTTGCTCCTTGGGCTTCCTGTGGTGGGAACAAAATTGTCCCTCGTCCCCACTCCTCCTCCCCTTTCTCGTTCCTAGTTCTTCTCGGAATTAGGGTATACTAAAGTGTATTAGTCCAATATCTATTTCGAATATCTTCGCTCTAAACTAAGCAATGGTAAGCGTATTACACTAATGCTTCAAGTGTATAGCCTGCGTAACGTCTATATTCCCCACTATTCCCCCTCACCCAGAGAGCCGCTAGTGTGTGTAGTGTCTGTTATATTGCCCGACCTTTCGGATCAACGCTAGAACCTATTTTGATCGTTGAGGATTGATTAACAAACACGAAAATGATTGAGAGCAGAAAGAAAGCATCCCAAGGCCATCACCTTGGCATTCGTCTAACTTGGCAAGGACTTCAAACGGCAATAGAACTTGTTGACTTTCTTGATGAGAAAGGGAAATCTAAACTTGCTTATGTTTCGTCGTGACTCGGAGGTCTGTTGAGTAAGTTCATGGAAATGTTTAATATAAGGGACGGACCATTAGATAGTTGATGGAGGGCTGCGTAAATCCCCCCCCCCCCCCCCCCCCCCAAAAAAATATAGAGCAATCACTTAAACCTCAAAAAAAATATCGTGCAACCTTTTCTGTTAGAAGAAAAATATCTAATTGTACGCAAAAAAAATAACGTGCAAGGGTTCAGCCCAAAAAATAAATATCATGCAACCAAAATTCCTGCAAAAATTCCTCCATCCCTACGTGTACTGTATTTGTCTAGTGTTGACATATGTGCTTCTCAAGCACCTGATGACGGCTGTTTACCATGAAAGGAATGATATATAGTGGGGAAACGTACTACGCATGACAGGAAAAAGGGCGGGAAACGCATTACGCATGACAGAAAAAGTGCGGGAAACGCACTACGCATGAAAGGAAAAAGGGCGGGAAACGCACTACGCATGACAGGAAAAAGGGCGGGAAACTAAGCACACGCGTGTCGAATACGCCTTAGAAAACCAAATTAATAAGTTAAAAACAGTTTAATAATAAAATATCACATAGTTAACATAATGTTTGGTTTGCTTCAATATGACCGACGTGTTTTGTCACTTCTACTTTTCATTATTTTCTCCATAAGCCAAAATGGCTTTGCTTCTGTCCTTGTTTATCACGAAACTTCATAATAGCGGTTTTCCTATAAGAGTGTAGCATTTCTGATTTCCAGAAGGTGCTCTGTTGGGAAAAAATATCCCTACAATCAAATTGAGGCCATTTTGATTACATCTAAACTGTTTTGGCTTTGGCTCTAGTCATAATTAAGTAGCGAAGTCGATTTCACTTGACGTCATTTCCAGTTTCGTGCAGAATGTTCATCAGCTGAATCAGTCACAAGTTTTCAAAAGAATTATTTTCGGCTGACAGAACATGGTGGTCAGTATTTTATCCTCACTGCATACTCATTACCGAGTCACGGGAATTAAGTTATGGAAGGTGACCACGACTTCTGGCAATGAGCATGCGAAAAGCATACGATGCGTCGTCAACCGCCACCAGGGCAGGTGGGTGGGGTGAATCTTCTTCTCTCTCCTTAGGCAGCTTCCGACAGAATGATTCAAGGATCTGGGTGTGGTGCTTATATATGCAGGGGTCGCAAAGCATTATACCTGCACTGCGCAAACTCCAATGTCCATATATGGGGGGTTGCTAAATTCCTACGTGACACGCTAATTATGTATGCAGTGAGAATAGTGTTTGACCATCATTTGCAGCAGATAATGAGATTCAGACCTTTGTCTGCTGATTAAAGCCCACCTCCGCAATTGTTAAACAGGTTTACCTACCTTCATGAAAATCAGAAAGTAATGCAATTCCTATGATGCATGGCCATTTCTACCATCTTCCTCTAGCTTCAGTCTTTGAACTTCTTTTTCTAGCTCCAGGCATGCTCGTTCAATCTCGTAGTTTTTGGAAACAAGACCAACCCAACTGTAAACATCAAAACGAAGTTAAAGATGAAGAAGGATAACATGAATAGGGCAAGTTCCAGCTCGTTATACAACTATTTCAAAAAAAGTTGACAAGGGACGTCATTTATGGTGCAACGTTTTAGTTTTAAAAGTAAATTTAACTGGTAGTCGTATGTCTGTGTCATACAGTACATAAAGAACTATTATTAAAGTCAGAATTTTACAATGATATTGCAACCTCCATGTATTAATCTACATTACCTGTGTTCTAAATGTTGCAGTTGTTCTCCTGCTGGAGACTGAAAACACAATGCAGTATTTAGTTGGATGGTGTTGATGATGATATTTTTATCAATTTTATACACTTATTTTAATAAAGTTAGTCACCTGAAAAGCTACAAAGCAATAAGACTGACAAGGATTATGGGTAGACACATTTTACATGTTTCAACCACTTGATAACTGTTGATGGACTTGAGATCTTCTACCAGTTACAATAACCTCCTCTGAGCATCCTCAACTGCTGCAGTTTGTGTCAAAAGCTTTACTTGTTGGACATGAAATATTTCCCATGATTCTAAGCGATCACAGCTTTCTAGGTTTTTGGTGACTAACTTTATTGAAATAAGTATATACTAGCATGAGTTAATACATAGAAGGAAACAACACACATCAAAAGAACTCAACTCACATATTGGCATGGACAGGACTCAAATGCATGACACTTATGATTATGATTATGATTTATGATTTATATAGCACCCTTTAATATGTGGATATAATCAAAGGCGCTTTACATGGAGTTGTGAATGACAGATTGCTTTATGCAATTTACAAGCATGAGAGATGGTTAGTAGGAAGTGTAGGCACTGAGGGTGGTCACTGCCAGGGTTTCTTTTTACGTCCTCAGTGGTTCTTTTATGTCCCCCATTTTTAATGTAGGTTAGGAAGGGTTAGGAGACAGGGCCTACGGTTTAAAGTCCTTGTCCAAGAAGACTTGAAGCTCTAACCATTTGCAGATATTATTACAAAGGCAGCACCTTCTCCTCAGTTATTTTAAGACCCTGAGTGTTGGTCCGGCCGAGGCTTGAACCACGACCTCCCGCACAACAGACCGACGCTCTTACCAACTGAGCTAACCGGGTGGCGGTACTTGCCACAAGCCTTGCATTGGTGAGAGGACAATGCCTTAGCAGCATAAACCACCCATAATGCAGTTACATACATGTACCACATGCAGTAACTCAGGGACATGTCCAGGATTTCCCACTCTGCACTGACCTCAACAGCTAATCCCAGCCTCCCTGACCTCACCTCACCTCCCCCAATTTCCCACAAAGGGGGGGAGGGGGGAGGTACACGAACTTTACAAAAAAGTTGCCAATGATATAGTACTTGTGTAAACTATTGTGCATAGCCACAAGAATCCAGCCTTTAGATAGCCTGAATTTGGACTGAATTACATGTAGGTAAAAATTTCCCTGAACAAAAACATTGAACTATATAATTGCTGTACATTACATTTTCCAGTAGTTCAGAATAAAATCACAATAACCATATATTACTTAAGACTTCTCAAGTACATGTACATTACCTGTTCTGATTTCCTTTGCCAATTAATCTCCTGTACATTTTTCCTTAAATCATTCAGTGACTTCTGTTGCTGTTCCAATAGTTTGTTTAAGACGTCACAATGAACTTTCCATGCATTACTTCCATATTTTGACAGTAATTCAAGGTTAATAATTCTGTGAATGAATAAAAGATATTGTAAATACAAAAATAATATGTATACAGACACAAGAAGTCTTTGCAGCAGTTAGGACTCCTAAAGAAGATGAGTCTATAGGGTGAAAAGGTCCACATACAGTATGTGAGGTGATCTGTTCACTCCTATTGGACCAAAATTTGATTGACATTTTTATACTATAAACACCTGCACCTAAGAAGCTAAAATTTAAGAACCTGTTAGCCTAAAATTATCAAATTATGACCCATTTTTTTAAGAACCTATTTACCTAAGATTTGAAACAGGTTCTTAATTTAAAAAATGAATTAACAATCTTAAACATGAATACAGTACATGTATGCTATTTATATTTGTTTTTAGTAGTCTATGAAAAAGTCTTGTAAATTGTCATAACATTAGGCCTGTTTTTTACATTGAATTTATCAACATTCCATAACTCAACCAGTCATTGGTATCGTATTTCCCGATAAAGATAAGAACCTATTTTAGAATCTAATTAGCCTAAAATTTCACTAAGCAACCGTTATATAAGAACCTGTTTAGGCTAACTTGGAAAAACCTAGGTTCTTATATTCAGGTGTTTACTGTATTCCAGTTTTCCATATCTGTTCAGTGGTAGGAGTACATACCTTTCAGCTTGGTGTTGTAATTGTGCCATGGAGTTTTCTACTGCTTCTGTCCATGCTGCTACATCATGCTTCTGTGATGGCGCAGGTTTAGGAAGTTCATATCTAACAAATTCAAAACAAAGTACCTGCATTTAGCATTAGTATAACATGCATTATTCTTTAAAAATGCCTTCACTTGCAGGAGTACATGTATATGGTAATACACAAGAACAGCACTCCAGATGACCCATCAGCCATTAGATTATGTAATTTTTTTAGGAATTAACTATGAGATGCATGACGGTGGGGTGACAGTGGGATGTTAACCAACCGGCTATGGCCGTTAATCAGCCGACAGTCTGCCTAAAAGGCATCTAGAGTGGGGCACTGCTCTTTGCTTATTACTGGAGTATTGATCCATTGTAATAATTGAATAACAGTATCCACCAAATCTCTAAATAAAGATTACTGAGAAAGCTTTTCAAGTGTTGTGCCAACCCCCAAGTGCTTTATAACTGCACACAACACAGTGAGAAAGATCTCAAGGTAATAGACCTCTTCACCATAAAAATGTAATGTTTTCCCATTTAAGACCTTGTATCATTCTCTTGAGATTAAAATTCTTTGTTTGAGTTGTTTCCATATTYATGTGTCTTCTCATGCGCAAACGTCAAATAACAGCAAAGAATTGATACTCTATGGAATGAGTAGCATGGGTAGCATGGGTGGCATTCGCGCCTAATGCATCATCTTTCACTGCTGTGAGTCCAACAGCTTAGATTGCTGGTTCAAGCCCTGGGGTCGCCACATGTGTATTGAGTTTGTTTGATGTGTTGTTCTCTCCTATGCTACGAGGGTTTTCTCCGGGTTCTCCGGTTTCCTCCCTCCAAAAAAATCAACATGTGAGTTGAGTGTTGTATGTTGTAATTAATATAGAACGTAATGGTAGTGCTTGTGGAGGGAACCTCATGGAAGAGCCCCGTATGGGGAGTGGTGGTTGTAAAATATAATAATAATAATAATAATTATTATTATTATTATTATTATTATTATTATTATTCTTAATATAATGACACATGAAAGGAGAAAAGATTATGCCCAAGGTAGAGAGGTTTATTATTTGCCATTTTTATTGTAGTTTTAATAACATTGATATGATAAATGTTAAGACGTTTTCTGATAAAAGATATTTTAACACTGTCATGCAAGCACAATGAAGGTTTATTAGAAACACTGTGATAAGTTACACATACATGTACATGTACATTAAAACAAAACATTCAAGGAATTTACCTTTTCATGCTTAATAGTTCCATTGGTTGTCTTTTGCTAATTCTGTCAAACTCATTTTTAAGGACAGGTGTCTGATGAAAAAATACAAAAAAAAGTTGATGCTTACATCTAAATGGTATGAAACTAGACCAACACATGCAGAGGTCATTGGACAATGTCTGGCCAAATTTTAAACTTGGCCAGTCAAATCTTTGTCTTGATAGTCATTTTTTTCAAATTACTGCGGTTTTTAATATTATGTGAACTCAGATATTTCAACAGCTTGTTGCAACATTGGTTTTTTACTGCCGCCAGTCAAGAAAACAAAACTCTTACTAACGATTGAAAGTATACTTACTAAAAATACTTCAAAATCTGGTTTAGGTAAGAATTCTAGATAGTTCTTTGTAGGTCTGTATCTTCTTGTCTCTTCTTCCACTAACTGGTTCACCTAAAATTATACAGAGACATATAAAAAAGGGTTACTTTAAATTTGCCGTCTCTGACTGACTCAAATTTAAGATAATCGGACAGTTTAAGTTATTGGTCATTGATTAGCATGCTTCAATAGTGTTTTCGTGCACTTTGTCGATTGCTAAGTACTTAAAAAGCTAAAGTAGTGTGTTGTAAAGTGTTGTGGTGCCTCAAACCTTGCGATGTATTGCTTACATTTTTTAACGCATATGGTGACTCTGGTTAAACAATCCAAATGATTGTGTTGTTGATAGTTTTCTCAGACTTTTCAGTGATTCTATGCTTTAAAAACATGTGACTCTTAAACTATTGCAGTGCCCATGTTTCTTCAACTTTTCACACGGTGATGGAGTGAATTCAGTTGTTTTTTTTTGCAGAGTTGCAGTGTTTGAGACCCCACAATGTCCCCCTCTGGCTGGGTATACTGAAGTTATACTCCTCATGATCAATCGCGAATTAAGCTGACTTAGCTCACAGCGAAACGCGTAAACTTATACATAAACTACTCATTTACGACAATAACGACTATCCTCAAGCAACTATGCAAGATTAAATTGTGCTTTCAAGATTACTCAAGAATAAACTTTAAAATTTTTGACAAGAAAAACTTGGTCTTTGACTGAAGTTCAAGGGATCAAAATCTAAATTTGTGGACATATTTTCAATTCAAATTGTGATAAATTTGATAAATACTTCAAATATGCATTAAGTAATATAAAATACCATTTCTCTGACTCCTGGGTCTTCATATCCTTGATCATAATAAGGCAATGCATCTGGAGCAACCTCGTGTAAGGACGCCATATTGGATCAACAACAAGAAATCCCATAAACCCTTGCAGTCGATGTAGCCCGCGAGATCCCGCTGTCCCGCAGTCTTCTCCCGTTACACAAGTAAAGCACAAATGATTCCCATTATGTGATATTTATTTTCCTGATATAGGATATTGCGAATAATATTATACCTTTATTACTTATTTTTATAGTCTATCAGTGATGGGTACCCCCTTTGATGGACTTTAATAAATGTAGATGTATTTTCCACTAATGCTAGTACTAATTCCAGTCTGAAACACTAAACAACAAAAACAAAAACAAAGAAAAATAATTTAGCAATGTTAAGTATCAAAAAGGCTAATATTTCCCTCTGCTTTCCCTTAGAACATTTTCTGTCCTTGTATTTCATAATTTTATTTACCCTAAATTCCCCTAAATAGTTTTATATACATTGCTTTTCAAAACTTGGAGAAGCGGGTCGTACTAAGCTAAACTACTAAATAAATGAAACAGCAAGTCAAATTCAGTCCCTAAGTATTTTAGTATTGAGGGCCTGACTATACTAGTTAATCAGTGTAAACTGTCATCTCTTACCCTCCCCAAATAATGTTGTATATTTTATTATATGGGTGCATGAGGGCTGGTGGGCTACATTTTTCTCAGTCCAGTAACAATTTGGGGAGGGGGACACATCAATTTTTTAAAAATATCTAGTGTTTACGGAAAGTCTGTGGGGTGATTGAAACCATGTTCTGTTTGAGTAGGGGGGCAGGGCACCCAAAATATACTATTCAGTTCAAAACGTAAAATCCCCATAGAGCCCCAAACACATAAATTATGAATGCTCCCAAAACGAGCACAATAGACCTCTTCAGCTCTGACGTAATGTTTTCCCATTTTTAGACCACATGTCATTCCCTAGAGCATCATTTCTTTGTTTGAGGTTTGCGCTTGGTTGCACATGAGAAGACAGATGAATATGGATACAGCTCAAAAAAAATCTTATTCTCAAGGGAATGACATGTGGTATGAAATGGGAAAACATTACCCCAAGCCGAAGAGGTCTATTGAACCCAGAATTCAAATCTTCATTCAATTTCCCCAACATTTCCCCAATGTTTTTTCGTCTGTTTTAACTCATAGTCCTCTTTTTTTCTATATGTTTTACTCGATTTGGTTAGCAGCAGATTGCTCACTTATCATGAACTGCATACAAGCAAGTCCCATGTTGATGCGTGCCTTCCTCAAGGAGTGCTCAACAATCAATGCCTTCACTCTTGCTTCTCCCAGAAGTTCAAAGGCTTCCTGGTGTGTTACCTTGTTATTTCCAAACAAGTAGTAACCAGAAGCGCCTGAGATGGCACCAGCAGTACCTGCAATCAATGCTGGACACGCGAGAAAAGCTGTGAAAGGACATGGCGCAAATGCTATCGCCGCCAGTCCTGCCGCACCGGTTCCACCACTTAGCTTCTGAAAGAAGCCGTTGTTATCTTCACCAGTTTTAGATTCCTCCATTTTCTTTTCGATATTCTTGCGAACTTTTCGCAGATTATCGACTGCACTGAGGGTGGTTTCGTCAAAAAATTCCTTCGTCGAACAAATCTTTTTAATGCCATTCTCAGCACCTCCCTTTATCAGAAACGTTTCGATGAATCTCAAGATTGGAATGATCTCTGTGGCGATGGCCATATTCAGATCGTCTTGCTCGAATTGTGCTCGCATCAACTGTTTTTTGGCTTCGATGGCGTAAACGTGAGACAGAATTAGCACAGCAGTAAAGTAAACACTAGCGCCAAAATAGGCTGGGTTGTGTGTAATCGCTCGTGTTCCTTGTTGAAGCAAATTCTCAATGAATTTCTGCGTCGTTGGAAACTTCTTTACCAGGTCGTAATTTGTCTTCAGTAGACTGCCAACACAAACCGCTCCTTTCAATACATGTCTCGGATCAATGTTTCCCTCGAACAGCTTAGTCGGGTCGAGGTCGATGTTGCATTTGTCTGGTATAAACCCAGATGAATTTTCGATAAACATGAACAAAACCAGAAAACTAAGTGACTTCTTCAACATAATCATGATGAAACTCGATGAATTTTACTTGGCAAGATGGACGCTTTCTGCAACATATAGTTCTCTTTCACTGACTGAAGGAATTCTGAGAAACAGTATTTTAAATTGACTCACGTGGTGGTGCAATCTTAGGGGATTCCCCTCAATAATGGCGCGCTCTCATTGGCTGACACGGCGTGGTGTGGCGCCTGTCGACAATGATGTCATTGTCACGCCATGAAAATTTAAGCTACTAACGCGTGTTTCAAGGAGACACTGGAATTCAAGAAACAAAGCCAACATTTAGAGCTAAAAAAACTAAGAATTATAGCTAATCTGATGCCTTGATTCAGAGTAATTAAATGTTTTTTTTTAGTTGAGACGAAAATTTCCCACGTCTAGCATAGAAACATATATCAACTTTGAATCTAAAAGTAGGGAAATTTCCCCTTGCTAAGTATGTCAAAACAAAGTTATTAATAATGGGTATCTAGTGCCAAATGGTATCCTTAATTTGACTACAGTGTCAAGCACAGGTAGCCCAAGCTTGGTTTCTGTGGTGTCCTGTTATAAGGAAATGTATGGAGATTCATCGAAAATTTCGAGGCTTTATTTCACGTTTCAATGATTTTATTGAAATTTTTGATGAATCTCCATACATTTCCTTATAGCAGGACACCACAGAAACCAAGCTTGGGCTACCTGTGTATCAAGTAGGCAATAATGTCATTATT